ATGTACGAGTCGGTGTAATGCAGGCGACCCATTAAGCTTAGATACCGCTTCCGAGAAATCAAACCTTCCTCAAGGACTTCGTCAAGAGAGGCAATGAGCTCTTCGGCCCGGCCAGGCTTGTTCCTGACTAGGACCAGGCCTTCAGAAAAGCGAGAGCAATCAACCTCCACTCCAAGCATCGTGGCTTGGGCCTTAAAGGGTGAAAGCTTATCAGAGGCGAACCTAAACCCCAACAGGTTACACAGGGCAATCATGGTCTCCATGGTGTTGTCAGCAATGCCACTCGGAGACATGACAGGGAAGTCATCGTAAAAGTTGCACCAAGGCACGCACAGCTCCACGCCGATGCGCCAGAATAGGCGCGCAAGGCGATTGAAGTGAAGCACCGAAGCGGAACTCCCGAAAGGTAGGGCCTTCGACTCAAAGAGTCCAGGCTCAGCAGTAGAAGGGTCAAGCAATGCGATTATTGCCAGGGCCCGCGACTTCGCAGAAACCGCAAATTGCTTATAAGCCGCTCGAAGGTCCAAGGTAGTGAGGAGAGGCTCGCACCCCACCTTCTTCCAGCCGTCGTGCAGACGACCGCTCAAGGATTCACCAGTTGAAAGAGGGATTGTGAAGTCGGGCGGCCCGTTCAGAACCCGAATCCACAACCTGCTGATCCCAATCAACTCGTCAAGCGCGTGAAGATCAAGCTTATCCATCGAGCCGAAGGCCAAATTGACCTTGTTCTCAGTGAAATCGTCAACAGGTCTAAGTTTACGGCCGGCGGAGGAAGTCTGTTCAACGCCGAACCGGCGAGTAGGGAGCCAGCACGGCCCGTGTCGAGACAACAACTCCTCAGCAGAAAGCGGTCCCTCAAGAATGCCATCAGCCACCTCATCAAGAGTCTTGTCCCACAGCTCGCGGGCATTCGCATCGGATGCAGAAGCACGAATCTTTCCAAGTAAAGCGGGCTGCAGAAACTGCGCGGCACTAATGAAATCACTTTCGGCCAACTTAGGTGGCCTGGGCTCGTGAGCGAAAACTCCAGTGTGTTCATGATGGCCCACCAAGTCAAAACCATTGCGCAGTTCATCGAAAACCTTCATGTCAACCCAACCAAGGGAGCCGGCGATACGCTCCAGAAGCTTTAGCCTTTTTCCTTGCAAAACCTTGGCGACCTGAGGATCAAGCGCCTCCTTCAAAGCACGTTCCTCGCCTTCAAGGTCGGAGGCCCAGGACGTCCACTTCCTGAGTAGGGCCGCCCTCCGTTGCACAACCCAGGTCGGCCCATTGACCAACATGTCAAAAATGCATTGTTTGAGACGATCAGGAGCGGCATGCAGGTGATCGAAAGGATGAGTAACCCTTCTGCACCCATCAAGAAATTCATCGGGAGAGGCGTACACACCAAGGCGAACCTCAAAAGCTCTCGCATCACTAGTAGGCTCCAAGGTCCGCGCACAGGAGGCATCACTGTCGGAACCGTGCACGGATTCGCAACTGCTGGCATCACTGCTAGAACTATCCGAGTGCACAACTTCATCCCGGGAAAACTTCAACGAAGACCCAGAACCACCCCCGCTTAGCAGTAAAGAGGTCGAAGAGAGAAGTTTGGACCCAGAAGGAGCATCGCGGAGGGGCTGCAAAATACAACGCTTGGAATCAACAGGCGGCAGAGCATGAACTTGGTAGACAAGCACACGCTTGAACTCAGGCATAACAGGAGGCAGCTTACGCCCGCGAGGTTGCCGAGCAGAAGAAGTGGCAGCAGCGGCAGACGTGGCCGCAGTAGGATGCACAGGCAAGGGACGACCCAAGTGCCTAAAGACCAGCGCCACGAACTGTTGGCAAAAGGGCCTGGGGTAGGCTGCCTCCTGCGCAGTAGGAAAAGACATCGTGCCATCAGCGCGGCGCTGTGGCTTCCACGGAAGGTGGTCGTGCCCACCTGGACAGCGCTGGCGAAAATGTTCGATGGCATCACAAGAAGTAAGCAGCGTACGGTGGGTCAATCGTGCACCACCATAGCAACACATGTCGAAATTGACCCTCGGAAAATTCTTTACTAAATGAGCAAAACAGGGCAGCTGCCAAAGCATGCTTGACTCAGGATTTTCAACTGTCCATGGGATGTTGGACCTGCAAAGCAAATCAAGAAACTGGGCAAGGCCAACGTAAATTTTGTTTGCAGCCTCGACCTTGTCAAGGTTGACACCAGTCAGCGAAGGCAAACCCATGGGATGCTCAGGAGAGCGAAGCGGGGCCACGGACACCCCTTTTCGCTTTATGTTGCGCGCTGCGGAGCACGTGCCACAAGGCGGGGCAGCGTGCACGAAGAGTATAGGATGATCACGCACCACATTGCGCAAGAAGACCCAAGTGGACTCCTCGGTCAAGCTGAGATTGCAAACCTGCGCCAACGGATGATGGCGGTTGTGCTGGTGATCAATGGGCATGACAGGCACACCCGCTTCACGAAAGCAGCGAGAAAGCATGGCGGCGCCGGCACATAGCTCAAGAAAAAGTGGTTCTTTGGGAACCAACGCCTCGGTAAAAGCCTTGGTTGCTGAAGCACCCGACAGCAGAGGGAAACGCGGTGGCCACGGCAGGCGAGCAGGCAGCTGTGGGTGCTCACGGAAGTGCTCGACCTCTGGCTCGGTTGGCAAAGCAAAATCAAGTGAAATCAAGCGTTGCGAGGCCTCGAGAGACAGCTTATCAAAGGCCGAAATAGAGAAAGCAACCAAAATGACCCGCCTGCCCTGCCACGAATCAGTGAGGTGCGTCTGCCTGCGTGCATCAAACAGGACAGGGCCATCCGACACAGGCAATGCCACCCCTTGAAGGGTTGCACCATCAACAGTCCGAGTGTGGGGACCCTTGCTGGATTGCACCCAAATTGCACCTTTAGTAAAACGGGACAAGGGAATGGCCAAATTAGGCAAGAAGGAATTCTGCTGATCACGATGCGGGGCCGTGCGAACACCATCAAAAAGCACGACGGTTGTGAACTTGTGGGCAGGAGCAGACTGCCTTACAAAAGCAGCCAGCACCTGCGTTGACTTTGGAAAAACAGCGACATTGCTCCGGAGTCCCACCTTGACCTTGGCAAAGGCCCCAGTGGTAAAAGAAATGCCGCCACCGGAGCCGCGTTGCGGCGCAGCTTTCGGGAGGCAATCGAAAAGCTTCAAAACATCAGCCTGTTCAATCCACTTCCCAATCAGACTTGAAGCGAATTCTTCAGCGGAAGGCAACCCATTTGGACCTGCATGCAAAACTTCCCCTTCAGGGACACTGCATTCAGAAGAAGAGCGCACGAGAGGCTCACCGCTCTGTGCAGCATCTTTCTCGTCAGTCGTTTGGTCCATGGATTGCACACCTAGTCAATCCTTCTTGCGTTTGGGACACGCCGTGTATCCATGATCTCTCTTGAAACATCCTTTGATGCAGCAGACATGGAGTCCTCGCTCGCACTTCCCATTGGATACAGCTCTCTGGCAACGGCCTAAGTTAAAGTCGAAGCAGATTGGCAATCCGCGAGTCGTGGACGGAACTCCGTCTGCAAGCTCAGCGGGCATACGGACATTGTTCTTGCTCTTTCCTTTACCCTTGCCTTTCCCCTTGCCCTTCCAGGGCCTTCGGTCATCGTACGGGCCAGGCCTGAAAGGAGCCGGAGGGGCTGCGACCAAAGGCTGCAAAAGGTGTGTGACATTATTGCAATTCATTGCCTCGTTCCAAATCTTATCAACTGGCTTGCCGTCAGAAACAAGTTGGATTCCATGCCGAGTGCGATCTGCTGCTTCAACAAACAGCTGCCGATCAGCCTGCATAAGCTGCTGCAGCGTCACACGTGCATAGTTGTCAGGTGGATCCCTGAAACGCGCGGTAAAAAGTGCTTCCACCCACCGCTCGTGCTCCGAAAAGGTGACTATCCTTGCCTGGTCTAGGGCCAAACCTCGACGGGTCAAGGCAAGCTTGAGGAGAAGGTCTGAGGACACATCAGCATCAACCTTTGCAACCTGGGTGCGTAGCGACACATGACCGGCACCATCAACAGACAACATCTTATCATCGCGATCCTTCTTGAACTTGACCTCATCATCACGGCAAGGGCACGACTGAGGCGGCAAGTAATGAAGCACGTTATCCTCATACATCTGAACGCACTTATCAATCACGGCATGACCCGGAAGAGTCGGGCCGTGGATCGTCAAACCACTCAGCCGAACCTGCTGTCGCTGCAACCTGTCGGCCCGGTCGGGCGCTGCGAGCTTTCTCGGAGCAGAGTCATCGGTCCTTTCAACCTGTGATTGTAATTCAGACACAGTTAAGTTGTAGCTCTCATGCAGCAAGCGGCGAAGCACACTGAGCTCCGCAATCGAAGGGTCACGCCCAAGCACTTTGACAATGGCAGCAGTGAATGGTCTCTCATCCGTGCTCCCGGGCACGTATGAGCTCAGGAAAGCATACTTGCTCATGCCATCAATGCCAGCGTCAACGAACTTCACCAGCACCGGATCCTCCAATCCAAGAGCCTTCGCCCTCGAAGAGAAGTTTGCCTTGCTCTCTGTGACGGCCATGGCACAAAACCTGTCAAGGCACTATGGGGTCTCCAGCCAAAGTGCACACTCACCGCAAACGACAAATGCACTTGCAAACCGCTGACTGTCGGACACAAGTTCAGCACGATAACACATACTTGACGGCGCCCGGCAAGTATTTCACACGACACTCGTGTTCAGTCATGTTCTAAAAACTCGCATGACACCAGACAAGTAAGTCGGTGCCACATCAAAACCAGGCCAGTGCCCGAAATTCGTACATGTGCCACCGCGTGGACCGGTGGCATCACGCACTCACGCACATCATGAAACCCGCAAGGGTCTGACAAGTGAGCCGAGTGGGTCCAGCTCATCCACTTCCAAGCCGCGCAGTCCGGCAAACCACAAGTGCGCAAGCACATCAAACCATCACCGAGTGATTCCGGCGAGCACCGCGTGTACCGGCTTCCACAAGTGCGCAAATCACTTGAAACAGTTTTGGCACATATCTGCCATAAACCTAGGCCTCTCAGCAAGACGCTCGAACTTCTTTGAGCACCTCTTCCCACAGCGGAGTCGGTTCCCGCCCTCATCAGCGAGACGGTGAAGCTTGCGGGAAGTGATGTGCCTGATGTACACATGGGCATCAGGGTCTCCCACAGATAACTCGGCCCAAGGCGGTATGATCTCATCAGCCGCAGCCTCTTCAGCACGAAGGTCCTGAACGTTGTCCTCTTCGTCCAGTGACGCCTCCGAGGCCGACGGTTCATCATTGAACTCCGGACCTGGTTTCATTCATGAGCCTAGGGGTATTTCTCAGCAGGGGTACTTCTCAGCCACTACCGAAGATTTAAGAAGATTGTTGAATTATTTGGAAGATTGTTGAAGAAAAACGAATTATTTGGAAGATTGTTGAAGAAAAATGAATTATTTGGAAGATTATTGAAGAAAAACAAATTATTTGGAAGATTGTGGCAGAAATGCGAATTATGTGAGGGTTTCAATTTGAGGCTTAAACACGGTTTAGGGTTTAGGGCTCATGGTTTAGGCTTCCTGGCACGGCTCGAGGACCTGCCAAAATGGAACACCGAGGTTTAGGGTTTAAAGATTCTAGGTCTAGTATTGGTCAGCTTCGGGGCCCACAAAGTTTAGGGTGCCAACTTCCGAGGTTCAGGGTTTAAAGGTTTAGGGTTTAGGGCTTACGGTTGTTCGGGTCTAAAGGTGTAGGGTTTAGGGTTTGGGTGAAAACACCCACTTTGTGGGAGTACTAGAGTTGAAAACAAATATGAGTAATCGAGTAGTGAAGTAATAGAGTAATAGAATAATAGAGTAGTAGACTAATAGAGTACTAGAGTATTTGAGTAATAGAGTAATAGAGTAATAGAATAATAGAGTAATGGAGTAACAGAGTAATAGACTATGTGTGTGGAAAATTGAAACCCTTTGCTATGTTCGCGAAGCGAGGAATTTTTTTGTTTTTTATGCAAAATTCATGCAAATGCTTTTGGTGCGAGTGTCTGGAGCAAGCCTTGTAGTGTGTGTGGAGTACTAGAGTTGAAAACAAATATGGATGTTCGCGAAGCGAGGAAATTTTTTGGTTTTTTATGCAAAATTCATGCAAATGCTTTTGGTGCGAGTGTCTGGGGCAAGCCTTGTAGTGTGTGTGGAGTACTAGAGTTGAAAACAAATATGGATGTTCGCGAAGCGAGGAAATTTTTTGTTTTTTTATGCAAAATTCATGCAAATGCTTTTGGTGCGAGTGTCTGGAGCAAGCCTTGTAGTGTGTGTGGAGTACTAGAGTTGAGAACAAAATATGGATGTTCGCGAAGCGAAGAATTTTTTTGTTTTTTTATGCAAAATTCATGCAAATGCTTTTGATGCGAGTGTCTGGCGTCTGGAGCAAGCCTTGTAGTGTGTGTGGAGTACTAGAGTTGAAAACAAATATGGATGTTCGCGAAGCGAAGAAATTTTTTTGTTTTTTTATGCAAAATTCATGCAAATGCTTTTGGTGCGAGTGTCTGGAGCAAGCCTTGTAGTGTGTGTGGAGTACCAGAGTTGAAAACAAATATGGATGTTCGCGAAGCGAGGAAATATTTTGTTTTTATATGCAAAATTCATGCAAATGCTTTTGGTGTGAGTGTCTGGAGCAAGCCTTGTAATTAGTGTGTGTGGAGTACTAGAGTTGAAAACAAATATGGATGTTCGCGAAGCGAAGAAATTTTTTTTTTATGCAAAATTCATGCAAATGCTTTTGGCGCGAGTGTCTGGAGCAAGCCTTGTAGTGTGTGTGGAGTACAAGAGTTGAAAACAAATATGGATGTTCGCGAAGCGAGGAAATTTTTTGTTTTTTTTATGCAAAATTCATGCAAATGCTTTTGGTGCGAGTATCTGGAGCAAGCCTTGTAATTAGTGTGTGTGGAGTACTAGAGTCGAAACCAAATATGGATGTTCGCGAAGCGAAGAAATTTTTGTTTTTTTATGCAAAATTCATGCAAATGCTTTTGATGCGAGTGTCTGGAGCAAGCCTTGTAGTGTGTGTGGAGTACTAGAGTTGAAAACAAAATATGGATGTTCGCGAAGCGAAGAAATTTTTTGTTTTTTTATGCAAAATTCATGCAAATGCTTTTGGCGCGAGTGTCTGGAGCAAGCCTTGTAGTGTGTGTGGAGTACAAGAGTTGAAAACAAATATGGATGTTCGCGAAGCGAGGAAATTTTTTGTTTTTTTATGCAAAATTCATGCAAATGCTTTTGGTGTGAGTGTCTGGAGCAAGCCTTGTAATTAGTGTGTGTGGAGTACTAGAGTTGAAAACAAATATGGATGTTCGCGAAGCGAAGAAATTTTTTGTTTTTATGCAAAATTCATGCAAATGCTTTTGGCGCGAGTGTCTGGAGCAAGCCTTGTAGTGTGTGTGGAGTACTAGAGTTGAAAACAAATATGGATGTTCGCGAAGCGAGGAAATTTTTTGTTTTTTTATGCAAAATTCATGCAAATGCTTTTGGCGCGAGTGTCTGGAGCAAGCCTTGTAATTAGTGTGTGTGGAGTACTAGAGTTGAAAACAAATATGGATGTTCGCGAAGCGAGGAAATTTTTTGTGTTTTTTATGCAAAATTCATGCAAATGCTTTTGGTGCGAGTGTCTGGAGCAAGCCTTGTAGTGTGTGTGGAGTAATAGAGTTGAAAACAAAATATGGATGTTCGCGAAGCGAAGAATTTTTTTTGTTTTTTTATGCAAAATTCATGCAAATGCTTTTGATGCGAGTGTCTGGCGTCTGGAGCAAGCCTTGTAGTGTGTGTGGAGTACTAGAGTTGAAAACAAATATGGATGTTCGCGAAGCGAGGAAATTTTTTTGTTTTTTTTTTGCAAAATTCATGCAAATGCTTTTGGTGCGAGTGTCTGGAGCAAGCCTTGTAGTCTTCCCTGTTCTACGTAAGACTGCTGCATGCTTTTAAATTCTTCTAAATTCTTCTAGATTCGTCGGAATTCTGCAATTTTCTTCCAAAATCTTCCGGTTTCTGCCTGTCTGTCAAGACATGCCTGGTTCCCAACACCATTTTTTTTCATTTGTACACACACACGGTATCCCCCATTTCTTCGTTTTTCTACCTTTTCTACCTTTTTCTACCTTTTTCTACCTTTTTCTATTTTTTTCTACCTTTTTCTACCTTTTTCTACCTCTTTCTACCTTTTTCTACCTTTTTCTACCTTTTTCTACCTTTTTCTACCTTTTTCTACCTTTTATTCGGTTGAGGTTTGTTTTTTTTCTTTTTTTTTCCCCTTTCTACCGGCATGCTTGGGGGAAGGAAATGCTGCCCGATTTTCAGCCCCTCCCCCCCCCCTCCCCTAGGCCATACGTTTAGGGCCTAGGGTTTCGGGCCTTAGGTTTAGGGCCTAGGGTTTGGGGCCTTAGGTTTAGGGCCTAGGGTTTGGGGCCTTAGGTTTAGTGCCTAGGGTTTAGGGCCTTGCGTTTAGGGCCTTGGGTTTAGGGCCTTGGGTTTAGGGCCTAGGGTTTGGGGCCTTAGGTTTAGGGCCTAGGGTTTAGGGCCTTAGGTTTAGGGCCTAGGGTTTGGGGCCTTAGGTTTAGGGCCTAGGGTTTGGGGCCTTAGGTTTAGTGCCTAGGGTTTAGGGCCTTACGTTTAGGGCCTAGGGTTTGGGGCCTAGGGTTTAGGGCCTTGGGTTTGGGGCCTTTGGTTGACGGCCTTGGGTTTGGGGCCTAGGGTTTAGGGCCTTACGTTTAGGGCCTAGGGTTTAGGGCCTTAGGTTTAGGGCCTAGGGTTTAGATGTATGTATATACGTGTGTATGTATGTATGTTTGTATGTATGCATGTATATGTATGTATGTATGTATGTACATGTGTGTGTGGGTGTGCAGGTGTGTATGTTCGTATGTGTAGGTGTTTATGTGTGTGTGTGTGTGTGTGTCTGTGCGTGTATGCATGTGCTTATGTATGTATGCATGTATGGATGTATCTGCCTATGTATGTATGTATATATGTATGTATGTATGTATGTACCTATGTATGTACTCATTTACACACACATACAAATGTATACATAATTGCGCATACGTATATACATGCATGTGTATATATATAGGTGCGTATATATAGATATATATGAAGATACACAAACATGTCTGTATATATATATATATACATGTCTGTATCTATATATATTGTTTGTGTATGTATATACATACACATGTATGTATATACGTGTGTGTCTACCTATATGTAATATCTGTAAACAGATATAAATATATGAAGAATCGCCATTAAGGTCATCACCAACCTCGCCATAATTATTAAAACCATCATCATGCTCGTCATAATTATCAAACCACCATTATCGTCTTCATAGCCCTAGTCTTCTTCGTAGAACCCAGGTTTTATAATCATCAACATCATCATCACATATCATCATACACATCGCCAACGACATATTCACAATCGTCATCAGAATCAGCATCGGCCATCATCAGTCATCGTTGTTATCATCCACATAGAGCGTCGTTATAGTCATCATCATAAACATCGAATCATCAATGAGATAGAAGCCAAGAAGCTGGAATAATTACCAGTACTTTTGCTCAGGGCTCAAGGCTCCTTGTTTTTACTGTTACACATCCCGGCGTTCACGGCTTTGAAACATGCGACAATAATCAACAACATGTTGTTACGAAACAGAGTCTACTTAATGTATTTCCGAACAGAGTGAGAATTGAAATTTCCTATAGGATTTGTGCTTGGAATCCAAGAAAAACAAGGGTGCGAATTGTAATTTCCCATAGGATATGTATTTCCGAACAGGGTGCGAATTGTCATTTCCCATAGGATTTGTGCTTGGAATCCAAGAAAAACAAGGGTGCGAATTTGTAATTTCCCATAGGATATGTATTTCCGAACAGGGTGCGAATTGTAATTTCCCATAGGATTTGTGCTTGGAATCCAAGAAAAACAAGGCTGCGAATTGTAATTTCCCATAGGATATGTATTTCCGAACAGGGTGCGAATTGTAATTTCCCATAGGATTTGTGCTTGGAATCCAAGAAAAACACGGGTGCGAATTGTAATTTCCCATAGGATATGTATTTCCGAACAGGGTGCGAATTGTCATTTCCCATAGGATTTGTGCTTGGAATCCAAGAAAAACAAGGGTGCGAATTGTAATTTCCCATAGGATATGTATTTCCGAACAGGGTGCGAATTGTCATTTCCCATAGGATTTGTGCTTGGAGTCCAAGAAAAACAAGGCTGCGAATTGTAATTTCCCATAGGATATGATTTT